TAAGTGTCCACTGACAGATGAATGGATAAAGAAGATGTGGCACATATATACAATGGAATATTACTCAGCCATAAAAAGAAACGAAACTGAGTTATTTGCAGTGAGGTGGACAGACCTAGAGACTGTCATACAGAGTGAAGAAAAAAAAAAAAAATCCGGGCTTCCCTGGTGGCGCAGTGGTCGAGAGTCCGCCTGCCAATGCAGGGGACACGGGTTCGTGCCCCGGTCCGGAAAGAACCACATGCCGCGGAGCGGCTGGGCCCATGAGCCATGGCCGCTGAGCCTGCGCGTCTGGAGCCTGTGCTCCACAACAGGAGAGGCCAACATATACATTACCAAACGTAAAACAGATAGCTACTGGGAAGCAGCCGCATAGCACAGAGAGATCAGCTCGGTGCTTTGTGACCACCTAGAGCGGTGGGATAGGCAGGGTGGGAGGGAGGGAGATGCAAGAGGGAAGAGATATGGGGACATATGTATATGTATAACTGATTCACTTTGTTATAAAGCAAAAACTGACACACCATTGTAAAGCAATTATACTCTAATAAAGATGTTAAAAAAAAAAAAAATCCGGGCTTCCCTGGTGGCGCAGTGGTCGAGAGTCCGCCTGCCAATGCAGGGGACACGGGTTCGTGCCCCGGTCCGGAAAGAACCACATGCCGCGGAGCGGCTGGGCCCATGAGCCATGGCCGCTGAGCCTGCGCGTCTGGAGCCTGTGCTCCACAACAGGAGAGGCCACAACAGTGAGAGGCCCGCGTCCGGCAAAAAAAAAAAAAAAAAATCCATCTATTCTCTATGGATCCCATCATACTACTCTGTTTAGCAGTATTATGTACATAATCATAATATGGATTAATGCTTTTTAGAATCAGCAAATATAACTATTATAAACCTTAAAAATATAAAATCAATGTTACAGCTGACATAAAATGGGAAGGGAATGTGGAATTCAAGGGAAAGATTGTGAGGGGTACTAATTTCCCTCAACTTATGAAGTGGCAAGCTTATACTTTCTAGAATTAACGGTGCCAAGTGCTAGAAGTTTAATCACAAACACCAAAAAATAAACAAATATCAATAAAAGAAGGGCGAGAATAGGCATTAAAAGTTTAAATTCTTCATTTTTTCACAATGAAGATATACTAGATTACTTAAGATTCATCAAAAACAATGTTTAGCATATTATATACAAAACTGGGATAGGGCTTCCCTGGTGGCACAGTGGTTGAGAGTCCGCCTGCCAATGCAGGGGACACGGGTTCGTGCCCCGGTCCGGGAAGATCACACATGCCGCGGAGCGGCTGGGCCCGTGAGCCATGGCCGCTGAGCCTGTGCGTCCGGAGCCTGTGCTCCACAACGGGAGAGGCCACAACAGTGAGAGGCCCGCATACCGCAAAAAAAAAAAAAAAATTGGGATAATAATCAGCAGAAGAATTAAAAATAGAAAAAGTCTCTCTGAGGAAAGAAACTAGTTAGAAGAGGTAGAGTTACTTTTCATTCTATACCTTTTGTACTATTCAAATTCTTATATGACTATTACATCCCAAAATACACACACACACACACACACACACACACACACACTCATTACAATCCCCATTCACTAAACAATTCAGGAAAAACACTGAGAAATTCTTTTTCATTTTTCTATATTCCATGCACTATACACCAAACTTCTACTTTGGTATTTCAAACAAGACACGATTAATTAAATAAGACTCAAGAACCACCCAAAACCCTTGATAAAATGTGGTGATAGTAATAGCTTACATTTGTGTTAGAATTGCCAAAACACATCCACACCCACTATCTCATTTAATCCTCATAGCAGTCTTGTGAGAGCAAATTTTTGAGATTAGTAAAGTAAAACTCGGGGCTTCCCTGGTGGCGCAGTGGTTGAGAGTCCGCCTGCCGATGCAGGGGACACGGGTTCGTGCCCCGGTCCGGGAAGATCCCACATGCCACGGAGCGGCTGGGCCCGTGAGCCATGGCTGCTGAGCCTGCGCGTCCCGAGCCTGTGCTCAGCAACGGGAGAGGCCACAACAGTGAGAGGCCCGCGTACCGCAAAAAAATAAATAAATAAATAAAGTAAAACTCCAAAAGGTTTAAGTTATTTGCCAGCCTCCCCCCAAAAAATAGGAAAAGTAATATAAATGTAATGGACAAGTTAAAAAATTTTTTAAATAACTTTTATACAGCACTGAAATGTGAAAACGCTTTCCAAATTTATAATATGAGAATAACATGAGAAAAATTAAACTTAACAGTATGAATAGACACTTTGGAAAACAGTTTAGCAGTTTTTATAGAGTTAAACATACACTTACCATATGACTCAGTAATCTCATTCTTAGGTTAATGCCCAAGAAAAATGAAAACACATCACACAAAGACGTGCACTCAAATGATCACAGCAGCTTTATTCATAACAGCCAAAAACTAGAAACAACCCAAGTGTTCTCCAACTGGTAAACAGGTAAATTGTGGTATGTCCAGAGAGTGGAATACCACTCAACAAGAAAAAGGAACAAACTAATGATATATACAACAACATAGATGGATCTTTAAAGTATTATGCCATGTGAAAGCAACCAGACACAAAGGACTACATATTGTATGATCCTACTTATATGAAATTCTAGAAAAGCAGAATTATAGTAACAGCAAATCAGTGGTTGCCAGAGTTCAGGGAAGAGGACTGACTGTGCAGGGGAATGAGGGAACTTGCTGGGATGATAGAAATGTTCTATATCATGATTTTAGGGTTTGATACACTAGTGTGTAAATTTAGCAAAATTTATCAAAGTAAAAATTGGTGGATTAAAATTGGTGAATTTTATTGTATGTAAATTACAATTCAATAAGGCCAATTTTTTTTTTTTTTTTTTTTTTTTTTTGGTGTGC